TTTTTTTTCATCTTTTATGTTTTAAAATATGAAATGAAAATAGAAGATACCAAGGGATGAAATTTTGTTTTTTTTTCCTATTTTTCATGAAAATGTACATACATTGCTTATATAACCTTAGTGCTTGTTAGTTTAGTCCCTTCGAAGAAAAAAAAAAGTAGTAATGCATCATTAGCAAAGTTTTATCATCTAGCATAAATCTCGATGCATTTTTTGGAGCAATAAATGTTTCAAATTCAAGATCATATAGGGTTTTGATTTCAATAAGTTTATACTCGAGTTGACTGGCTTGACAATACGAACCCAATGATACTAAAACTGGTTCCATCCGGGCCCAATCAAGCTTAAATAAAGCTATTAAGGCACTTTTTGAGGTTTTGGATTATCAATCAAATAATCAAATGAACTTCAATTTTGACATATGTATAGAAAACCAGGCACCTCAATGAGAGAAATACAATGGGAATTTTGAAGACTTGAAGGTCCTCAAATCATCAAGAAACCCCATATGATTGGGAAAGTTATTCGTTAAAAGATTAAAACGCCACTATTTCAGAGGCTATAAATAGATTCAATATATTTACTTGAGATGGGAGGAGAAGAGAATGAATTTTAGAGCATGTTTCGAACCAAAGGCTAACCAATCTAGAGAGGCAATCAAATCCTCCACACCAACTCTATCTCCAATTGTACTCATTCCTCGTGTAGCACTCCCATCTCATGGTGTATCATGTAACAACCCATCATCACTTGCTTTTAACTAAGGTTAAGCATCAACTATGAACTAAGAGGAAAATATTACCTTAAATGAACTTGGTGTCTCTTTTAGTTAAATAATCATTTTTATAATGAAATCGAGCACCTCGATGAGAGAAATACAATGAGAATTTTGAAAACTTTAAGGCCCTCAAATCATCAAGAAATTTCATATGATCAAGGGAGATCGATATGAATCATTCGATTAGATAATTGAGAAAGTCATTCGTTAAAAGATAAAAATGCCACTATGTCAGAGACTACACTTAGATTCACACTCGTCACTTGAGAGAGAGAGGAGGGGTGGGGGTGGGAATTCTAGAGAATGCTTAGAACCGAAGGCTAACAAATCTAGAGAGGCAATCAAATCTTCCACACCAACTCTATCTCCAATTGTACTTATTCCTCAGAAACACTCTCATCTCATGGCGTATCATGAAAAAACACACCATCACTTGCTTTTCACTAATTTTAAGCATCAAATATGAAATAACTTAGAAAATATCACCTTAAAAGAACTTGGTCTCTTTTTTAGCAATAAACGTTTCAAATTCAAATTCAAGAACATATAGGGCTTCGTTTTCAACAAAGTTTACATTCAAGCCGACAATCTTGACAAGACGAACCTGATGATATTAAAAATGGTTTCATTCGAGTCCAATCAAGCTTAAATAAAAGCAATTAAAGAATTTTAGAGGTTTTGGATTATCAATTGAATGATCAAATGTACTCCAATTTTAACATATTTATAGTCAAATCAAGTACCTCTACGAGAGAAATTCAATGGGAATTCTAAAGACTTTAGGCCCTCAAATCATCAACAAACCCCATATGATCAAGGAAGATACAATCATCAACTATGGTATTTGTAGCCAACTGACGCTATTACAATTTTCAACTACGACTTATGTCAAGTGATGATATTTAACAGCTTCTAATTATGACTTTTGTGGTCGACTAATATTATTACATATTTTAACTATGCTCTATGTGGCTTAACTGACACTATTATAGTCACCAACTATGACCTCTGTGTCCAAGTGATGCTATTACAACATTTAAATTTAGCCTATGTGGCCAATTTACGAAATTTAGCCTATGATTGTGTCATTGTGGCCAACTACTATTGCTATAGTCTCCAATTACGACCACTGTGACCCAATAGAACTAATGTAGCCATCAACTATAGTTTTTATGGTCAACTATTGCCTTCATAACTAGCAATTACGTTCTTTGGGGCTAATAATTGTTATTACAACCAATAACCATATTTTTATTGTAGCCCAATTATGGCCATTATAGCTCAACTTATATTGTATATTTGTGTTTATCAACTTTATAATTCTATCTTTCTAATTTAGGTGAAGAATGGATCTATGTACTTATAATTATATAGTTGATTACTTTGACTAGGTTAGACCTCGTGGTTTTTTTTCCTTTAAAAGGGTTTTCCATATAAAAAATCTTAGGGTCTCGTATTACTATTTATCTTTTATATGTGTGTGTGTGTTGGATTGTCATATGACCAAATGAAAATATGTTGAGATTTTCATACCCATTTTATATTGTTTTTGATGATATTGCGCTTTAAAGAAATGTATTTTTGATGTTTTGTTGTAGGAATGATGAATTAGGGTCATTGGAGCAAAAATATGCAAAAAGAAGCGAATTTGGAGCGAAAAGAACCAAAATGTGAAGATTTGAATTAAGGCGCCGACGGCAAGCCCTACGGCACCGACGACGGACTTTTCTCGAGACTCCAGATTTAATTCACTTAGAAGGCCCGCCGACGGCGCTTATGTCCAACAATGCATTGGATGAGGACGAATTTTGGAGGGATGCTTAGGCAACTCTTAGGAAAAATCATCCACATATTTAAAGAGAAGATTTTGGCCGAAAATAGAAGAGGGGGAGACTCAAAATTGAAGTGTGGGAAAAGTGTATAGAGTCTAAATTGTGAGGAATTCTTCAAGAGATTGTAAGAGTGGAGAGAAAGTGAGAGATTTCTTCCTTCTTGCCGCTTCGAAGATGAATTCTGTGTGTTGTAAAGAAAGAAAGAGATTCAGAGGAACTTAGAGGAGTTTGCTTGGGGAGAAATTAGAGATAAGTTTATTTACTTGTTGTAGTTTGTATGACGTTGCTTTTATATATGAATTCCGAGTTTTGTTGTGTTTTCCCCATGAGAT